TTTTCAAAACTGTTGCTGTCTCTCATCTTCAGGATCAGCTATGATTCTTAGGTTTGAATATTTTATATAATCCTATATTTTTTGGAGATTTTATTTCATTCTCTTGATTCTGTTTTCTTTATTGTTATCTGCTTGGGTTAATTCAAAAGCCATGTCTTCAAGTTCTGAGATCTTTTCTTCTGCTTGTTCTAGTCTACCATTAAAACTTTCCACTGCATTTTGTACTCCCCTGAATGATTCTTCTAATTCTAGAATTTCAGCTTAAAAAATGTGTCTATCTCTTTGGAGAATTTTTTATCCATGTCCTGAATAGTTTTTAAAATTTCTTTGTGCTTGTTTTCAGTTTTCTGCTGAAGCTCATTGGTCAATTTTATAATCAACATTATGAATTCTGTGTTTGGAATTTCAAATATTTCATTTTGTTTAGGGTCCATTACTGAAGAGTTAGTGTTGTCTTTTGAGGGTGTTGGAGAACTCTCTTTTTTCATATTATCAGAATTGTTTTTCTGGTTCCTTCTCATTTAGGTAGACTATTTCTTCTTATTTGAGGTTGGCAGGCAGCTGACATAGGCACTATATGGTCCCCTTGGTTACATATAGGCTTGGTGTGGTGAGTTTCTCAATTGTCAGTTGTGGGAGGCCTGCACTGGGTACCTGCACTGGCTCATGGCATCCTGAGTGGTTGGAGAGGCTTAGAAAGGAGTGTTACCTGGGTTCTGCAATCAGGCCTTCCCCAAAGCTGAAGTATTATATCTGATATAGTGGGCTGTGCCATTGACCAGGAGGCAGCACTTATGGGAGAAAGTCAGCTGTGATGGTGGCTATGGGTTTCTCTGTGGTCAACGTTGCTCCACGAGAGTGCCCAGCCAGCCTAGGTGGAGAGTGGGACTCTGGGGATTGCCCAAGTTCTCTGTTTTGAGCCTTTGAGGTCCTGGGATGGATAGAAAGGAGCTCAAACACCCGCAAGTGTGCACTCTCGACTATCCTAGTGTGGATTAGAGGGGAGTCCCTGGCCTCTGGGGTAACACTGGGGTACAGGGCAGGCACACAAGAGTTTACATGGGGAGTGAGGATTTGCCAGCTTCCTGCCTTAGCCTCAGGTTGTTTGCCTTTTGAACGTTAAAGTGCAGCTGGCCTCAGGGCCTTAGGTGTTTTCACAGCAGCCAGCCCCAATCAGAGCTTTTGCTGCTGTGAACTCTCCACCGTCTGAGACTCAATGTCCATTATACCATTCTGTGTATCTTTGCATATCCTTAGTTTAGCTTCTGCTTTGTGCACAGGTGGGGGTGGGGGGCACACTTAAAGCCCAGTCTTGTAGCCACATGTGGCAAGTAGTGCAGGTACAAAATTATCTACACCCCCCAAAAGCTACCGAAATAAAAATTAAAAACTGTTTTAAAGAACCGGGAAAAATAAATAAATAAATCTGACTGATGATAGATAATAGAACAGTAGAATCCATAGCAATACATTTTTTATGGGTAAGGCCATTTTATTTTTTTTCTTAATAGTGTAAGCAATCTATTTTATTCCAGAGGCTACTGAAAGTTAGAACACATGAGGCTGTGTGGCACAAATAAAGAAAACCAGACTGGGGGTCCTGAGTCTAAGACCGTCAGTGATGGTGCTGTCACCAAGTAGCTGTGGAAGTGCAGGCAACACTCTTGTTCTTCCTGAGCATTGACTTTTTCATTGGCAAAATAAGGGTGCTGTTGTAGGCCTTCAAGGTGCCGTCTCGCTTGGGGGTGGGAGGTCTCTGAGTCTGCCATGGACCGAGAGTGGGCTAAAGGGACTATTGGGAACTGCGGTCAAGACCAGACCGGGCCCCTAATTGTGTGTGTTTCCTGCAGGAACACCATGCTGAGCCTTTGCCTCGAGAATGCACAACTGAAAGAGCAGATGGGAGAAGCAATGTCCGACGGATGGGAGATAGAGGAAGACAAGGAGAAGGCCGAGCCGACGGTGGAGACTGTGGTAGCCAAAGAGGGTCCGAATGGGAGCAGCCTTCAGGCTGAGTTCAGAAAGCTCCAAGGAAAACTGAAGAATGCCTGCAATATCATCAACCTCCTCCAAGAGCAGCTGGTGCTGAGCAGCAAGGAGGGGAGGAGTAAACTGACTCCAGAGCTCCTTGTGCCCTTGGCCAGGGAGATTGACAGAATGAACGCAGAACTGGTCTGTGCTCCTGAGAGGCACCAAAGCCAAGAGGAGGAGGATATGGCAATGAGGCCTTGCTCCAGGCCCCAGAGCCTTGACCTTGGAGCTGCCCTCACAATGGATGCCCATCAAGTAAGTGTGGGCTTAGATAGAATGAAAATCCCCTGGAGAAGGGCTGGAGCTGCCAGTTTTTGCCTTCCACAGCCTTAAACTGTTTTACCTTAGACAGTAGATCAGGAGGTACCAAGGAAAGGCACGTTTGCCCCACAAGCAGCAGTAATAAGATTCGTACACATTCAGTCTTTAGAAAGACTTTTACAGCATTATCTCATAAATAGCTCCTGAGTACTCAATTTTCCAGGAAACAGACTAGGCATTGGCAGCAGTGTGTTGACACTGCCCTGAGGTACCCAACATGATGGAGAAAAATGCTATAAAAACAGATAATTTCACAGGATGTGGTAACTCCTGGAACAGAGGGACAAGTCCGGTTTTGAGGCAGCCCAGACAAGTGGTGTGTAATGACATCTCTTTCTTATCACTGCTGTTTTGTCACAGCTCATCACAGTTTCTGTTCCTGGGCTTCCAAGAGGGTCCCTTTTAGAGAAGAAGCTTTGCCGAGGTTTCAGTAAAATGGAGAATGCAGAGGATTTTGAGAGCCCACTGGGACAGGAATGCAAGGAGAGACAAGTGGAGGTTTCCACTTCTCTTTTTTAGCCACTGAGCAAACATTTGCTGAGGGCTTCTCTGTAGACTTGATTGGCACTGTGCTATGTGATGTAGATACCGAGATGAATAAAACATGGTCCCGGCTCTCTGCGAACTCCATCTGGAAAGCAAGGAACTGCCAAAGGCTTGAGAAGCGCCACGACAAACACATGAATAAAGCCCACAGGTTCAGAGGCAGAAGAGGCCACCGCTGCATGGGGGATGCCCTCAGACTCTCCTGATTCCTGTCTTGGTCCTTCTTACAGCTGGATAACCAGTCTCAGGCCCAGCACCCTGGGCCTCAGTCAGAATGTAGCCTCCCATGGTCCACCAAACACTTGCGCTCCCAGCTGGCACAATGCAGGCAACGCTATCAAGATCTCCAGGAGAAGCTGCTGCTATCAGAAGCCACAGTCTCTGCCCAGGCTAACCAGCTGGAGAAATACAGAGTCATACTTAGTAAGTCTTATAAGTTTGCCATCACCTAAGTGTTTTTCTTCTCCCTAAAAAGCTGCTGCATGTTTTGCAGATTTTACTTTTCTTCCCCAACCTCCAAACAGATTTAATACTGACTATAGTCCTAGAATTATGGACATGGATATTTTACTTCAATTTGCAGGTGACAGAAAAAGATACAGGCATAAATCAAAGTTTCAAGTTTGCGGTGAGAGTATAGAGAGGAAATGGACTAACATTTAGGTTTACTGATTTCTGGTACAGCCAATAACCTCCTTACCTCTCAACATAGACTAATTGTTTCCCTGTGACTTCTCTTTTCACCATATTCTTCAAAAACATATCATTATTATTAGTCTAGAGTCAGCGCTGTCCAACAGATCTCCCTGCAGTGGTGGAAACATTTTATATCTACATCACAGATGGTTATTGAGCACATGGAATGTGGCTAGTACAACATGGAGATTTTGTTTAATTTAAGATAAAGTAGCCATATTGGACTACCTTATTGGACAGTGCAACTAAGCCAAGGTGATCTGAAGGTGAGATCATCAATGGCAAACAGGCCCATTCTGTGAAGGGAAGTCTTGCTGAATGGGGCAGGTGGTGTCTTCTCCCCCAAGTCCAAAGGAGCATCTCTTTCACTGCAGAGCTGGCCTTTGGGGCTGAGGTCAAGGGAATATGTGGGAAATTCAGACATTCTGTAACACCCGCTACCTCTTCCCAAGCAGGTGAATCCTTGGTGAAGCAGGACAGCAAGCAGGTCCAGGTGGACCTCCAGGACCTGGGCTATGAGACGTGTGGCCGAAGCGAAAACGAGGCCGAGCGGGAGGAAACCACCAGTCCTGGTATGGGAACAGGGTGTAGGGCTCACCTTCCCTCTCTCGACTTAGCTGTTACCTCTGGGTGCTGGTGGCCAACCCCATGCCTCACAAGTGGCAGGGAGGAGCGGGTGTTATGGCTAAAGGGAACACAGGACCAGAAGAACAGAGAAAGACAAGAAGTTTAGAGGAAAACTCTTGCCCCAAATGAGGCTGAGTGTGAGTCTGAGTGTCTACAATGAGTTTTTGGCATACTGCTGTTAATGATGATAATAGCAACAACAGCAGCAAAGTTCTATCCAACTGATTATTACAGAGGGAAATACTAATAAGGAAGAGATCAGATGAGCTTTTGGGCGCAAAATTGTTAAAAACAACTTTGTTTTGCATTATACAAGGACTACAGGCATAGGGCCACCCGCCAAATTGAAACCCAGAAGAGGAGAAAAACACTCACAGTACCTTTTGCCCTTGAGGCAGTGTAGTATGGCAGTTAAGAGCAAAGATCTTGGCTCTGGACTGGTTGTCTCAAATCTGAGTTTGTGAACTTTTCCATGCCTCAGTTTCCTCATATGTTAAAATGCTAATAAAAGAACTACCTACCCCATCAGGTACTAATGTCAATTAAATTAGTAAATTCTTATGAAACACTTTAGAACAGTGTCTGGCACCTGGTAAAATGTTGCATATTCATTCTCATTCTGACTACCATTGCTCTAATATACTGATATTACTATGCTGATGTATTTCTTGTGGTTGTATTTTCCCATGCCTATTTTTCACACAGTTGTGACCCAATGAACTTTTAAGTCATAGCGATATTTGGAGAGCGTTAAACTTTCAGTCTGCAGGAACAGCTTGTCCTGTGTTCTTGTGGCCATCCTAAATATGCAATGCCCCATGTGAATGTCTTACTTAAGAAACATCCATGTGTGTGGCCTTTCCCTTTGAAAGAGGATAATGAGAAAACCCATCTCAAAGGGTAGTTATTAGGTTTAAATGAAATAATACACGTGCTTAGAATAGTGCTTAATATATGTTAGGCTCTCAATATGAACACAGGCCATTGGAGGATTTGAATTCTGGCTCTGTCATGTGCTAGTTTGAGTGATCTGGAACAAACTAGTTTGCCTCTCTTTGGTTTTGGTTTTCCCAGTCAGTAAAGTCGGAAGTGACCATACCTAACTTTCAGGGCTGTTGGGAAGATGAGAAATATTGTATCTGAATGCCTCGCACAGTGTCAGGGCTGAGTCAAGTACTGCTTCAACTTTTGCCCGAGGAATTATTGTGACCAGATTCGCCCCCTCTGGAAGGGAGTGGCCACAACAGCATTTGTGTTGTCCGGCTTTTATTCAGGAAGCCATGTTTGTCTTTGATTTTCAGAGTGTGAGGAGCAAGACAGTCTCAAGGAAATGGTCCTGATGCAGGGGCTGTGCTCTGAGCAGGGCCGCCTGGGCTCAGCACTGGCTAGCCCCTCCAGGAAGAAGCCCCTGGAGAGTCAGCTAGGGAAGCAGGAAGAGTTCCAGACACATGGAAAATCAGAAGACATCTCTGTCCTGCAAAAGGACATCAAAGATCTGAAGGTTCAGCTGCAGAATGCCCACAAGGTCATTCAAAACCTCAAGAGCCGGGTCCGGTCCCTCTCGGTTACAAGCGATTATTCATCCAGTCTGGAAAGACCCCGGAAGCTGAGAGCTGTTGGAACCCTTGAGGGGCCTTCGCCTCATAGTGTCACTGATGAGGATGAAGGGTGGCTGTCTGATGGCACTGGGGCTTTCTACCCCCCGGGTCTGCAGGCCAAAAAGGATCTGGAGAGCCTCATCCAGAGAGTATCCCAGCTGGAGGCCCAGCTCCCAAAAACTGGACTCGAAGGGAAGCTGGCTGAGGAGTTGAGATCAGCCTCCTGGCCTGGGTAAGGAGGGCAGTGTCTGGGCCCTTAACTGATTGCTGGTGTCTAAGTTTGTGCTGGAGTAGGGAAGCTCAGGCGGCTGGAAGAAAGAACATACCAGGTACTCACAAGTGCACTTATTTAAATGGTAGATAGAGGTCTGAGGAAAGGACAGGCAAGCAGCCACCACTGGTGGCCCCATGTCTGGGAGACGCGAGGTCTCTGGAACTTCTTCTTCGCGATATATTAGAAAAGGAACCATATATATGGTATAGTAGAGTGGTAAGGCTTGAATCAGACTGCTTGGTTTTAAGTCCTAGCTCTGATATTAGCCATGCCACCTATTTAACCTTGCTGAGCCTTTGTCATTACCTAGTAAATGAGGATAACAAGAGAACCCATCCCCAAGAAAGAGGATTAAGTTTAAAAGAATTAATACAAGTGCTTGGCATGGTACCTAGCCTATATTAAGCATTAGTGTTCTTTTGCCATGATTATGATTGTTTTTGATACTTTGTGTTGAAAAACACTAGGTAAGCATTCATCTTTGTATCTGTCCTGGTTATCTGTTGCTAAGTAGCAAACCACCCCAAAAATTATTATTGAAACAATATTCTATTCTATTCTATTTTTTGAGTTGGAGTCTCACTCTGTCGCCCAGGCTGGAGGGCAGTGGCATGCTCATGGCCACCCCAGCATCGACCTGCTGGGCTCCGGCGATCCTTCTGCCTCAGCCTTCCGAGTAGCCGGAACTACAGGTGTGCGCTACTACGCCTGGCTAATTTTTGATTTATTGTAGAGACGAGGTCTCGCCAAGTTGCCTGGGCTGGTCTTGAATCCGCAGGCTCAGGTAATCCACTTGCCTTGGCCTCCCAAAGTGCTGGGATTACAGGCTGAGCCACTGAGCCTGGCCGAAACAATAATTTATTATTTCTCCTGGTTCTGTGAGTTGACTGGTTTCAACTGGGTGGCTGTCACTTAGGGTGTCTCATCTGGCTGCCATCAGATTGTATGGGAGGTTGTGTAATCGCCATCGTTGAAAAATACAGTCTGCCACAGTATTATAGCATAGAATAAAATAAACTCAGGCATCAGGTGGTGTTTGAATTAGAAGAAATGGTAGGTCCTATCTAGTGACTCTAAGTATTTACTGAGTAACTACTATGAGTCTACATGATACTAGTGCTGTAGGGATGTAGAATATGGCACTGTCTTTGCTCTCACAGATCTTTTTTTTTTGGCTCCACTTTTGACAACAACAACAGCAAAATATAAAAGACACAGAGAGAAATAAAGCCATGATACTATTTTAGGAATGGTGCCAAGCACATGAACAGAGACTTCCAAAATCTTTTGAAAATGACTGGGATGCCCAAAGCAGTGACAACTTCAGCTGCTTCCTGTCGTCCCAAGACAGAACCAGAGTCAGGAAATAGGCAGAGTGCGCTCACTGGGGGGGCACATGGTCCCCTAAGTGCAGGGGTCTTCTGCGGCCACGATCCGGGGATGAAGACCAGGTTCTTGGCGACTCAAGCAAAGAACTGGACAAGACACACAAACAGGGAAGGTAGAGAGAGAGAGATTTGTTAAGCAGGAGAGGCAGTACGCTCCAGAGAATGCGGAGTGGGCTCAAGCAGGAGAGTGACTCTTGAGCCACTCTCACAGATCCTAAGATTCATTTATTTTTGGACATATGGTTAACATATAGAAAACAGTTGAACAGTGGCATACTAAATTTTTTGATGCAATAGTTTCTCAGGGCAGAATTTACTCTTAAATACCTTCTATGGCTCATGGGCCGGAATTCAGCCTGGGGGAGTTCCTTAGAGATGTTCTCACAGAAAGCTCTATGGAAGCTCCCATACCTTAGAATTCTCTCTTTCCACACTTACTGTTACTTCTTTCCTCCATTAGGAAATATGATTCCCTGATTCAGGATCAGGCCCGAGAACTCTCCTACCTCCGGCAAAAAATACGAGAAGGGAGAGGCATTTGTTATCTTCTCACCCAGCGTGCAAAAGACACAGTAAAGTCTTTTGAGGATCTCCTAAGGAGCAACGACATTGACTACTACTTAGGGCAGAGCTTCCGGGAGCAACTCGCCCAGGGAAGCCAGCTGACAGAGAGACTCACCAGCAAGCTCAGCACCAGTAAGTTGGCCACAGGGCTTTGCAGTGCTCTCAGTTACTCCCACAGTTCCAGCCCAGGTGGCCACTACACCTCCACTGTGGCTTTTAACCCAGAGTCCTATTTCCATTTAACCCCTGGGGGCCACGACAGGATCAAGACTGGCTAGTGGGGAATACAAAAGAGAGGAGCACACGGGGCTGGAGGCATCATGGTTACAACTGTAGAAGCTTTGCCACTTCTGGAATGTGAACATTAGGGCAGGAGGCAGCTTCCATCTGGTGCGAAGGGACAGAGAGATGAGACCCAAGGGCCTTGTTATAATGGAAAGAGCCCTGCATGACCCAAGCTCCAGCCTGGATGCTGCTACCAACTTGCTTTGAGCAAATGACACCCGTCTGGTGTCTCTGTTTCTTCATTTATAACATAGTATTGTTCGTGTATGTATTCAGATATAAAGCGCCATGCTCTTTTGGACATGGTTTGGACACTGGCTGTAGTAATTTCAGGGCTATGTTGGTTACTACTGGAGCCTTTTACTTAGAGGGACTTTCTGGAAAGCACCCAGGTGAGTATAGCAGGATCAGACTTGGGAGCCACCCAGTCCATCTCCTGGTGGCAGGTGTAGGTGCGGAACAAGGACTACTTGTCATCTCCTAAGAGACAAGCAAAGGTTCTACACAAAAACTGTGATGGACACATAGCTGTGCATTTGAGAGCCAGTCTGCAATAGGACATAGAAGCTGGAGTGTCCCAGAGGGCAGCTCTTGATCACTGGGGGAAAAAAAAGACATTTTAAACCTTTTGCCCTGATTAGGGCAGAGGAAGTCATGATTATGATAACCAGGTCAGAGGAAGTTGGCCCATTGAGCTCAGGTGAGCCTGGGTCACTTCTCTAAAAACACAACCTGAGGCCTCCCAGAATGAGGATCCAGGACTCACACCTAGAATAATCACTATTCTGTGTTCACATAGGTGCCTGTGTTTGTCATGTGTGACGTGGGACTGGTTTAATCTCTTACTGTTTTTTTCTGAATTTGGTTTGCAGAGGATCATAAAAGTGAGAAAGATCAAGCTGGACTTGAGCCACTGGCTCTCAGGTAATTCAGAATAAAATCTGGTAAAATCAGGTCCAAGGCCCAAGGGCAACTTGACAAATCAAGCGGCAAAAAGGAATATGCTGAATGTGATAAATTCTCTTATTTATTGAAAAACAACCTCACTGTTGTTTTTAGCTAAATTCTTTTCTCTTTTAATATAATTCATTGGTACATTAATTCTTCAGACTTGGTAACCTAGAAGCAGTCTGACCTAAAAGTGAACTAATGAGTCTTTAGGAGTCTTCTGCATCCCCAAAGGTCTTCCCTGCTTTTTCCCTGTGTGCTTAACAACCAGGTTGAGCTTTTTGCAAGGTTGGCCTGCCCTGAGTTGGGTTGACAGCTAGTTTAATAGTCACCCAATTTCCTTGGGGGAAAAAAGGATCATACAACAGTGCCTGGTAAAAGTACAGATCACTGGGAGACCACAGTGCCTCAGGAACCAGTTCAATGAGTCGTTTCATTTAACACTTAATAAAATACGGGCTCAGCGTCCATTGTGGCCACTAGTTTGAACTCTTTGTGTCATGCTTGTGCCTTATTTCACATAATTGCTTCTTAAAATATCCATGGTGAGGGACAAGGTGTCTTGGTTTTGCTTTTCTTTTTTATTTCGGATCCCTCAAGAGACATGCATGGCCCGTATGTACTTCAATTAACTATGAGATTCCACTGATCGTACTTTTGAATGTTGGGACAGTGTTTTGCTGTGTTTCTCAATGCTTACTCTGACTTTTGTACTGGTCATGTTGGAGATGGCCACACACAGTTCTCAGTTTCAGGGGCTGTGCTTTAAGCAGTGGAGCCTTGAAAGGAAGGCTGGCGGTGTCTCTGCTAGTCCTCCTCATATTAGATGGCCAGAGTACTGGGTGGCTGTTGTTCTCCCTCCATCTGCACCCCACTTATTCTCCACGTAATTAGAGATGAGCTATTTTGATGATTCTCTGCAGCTGTGGCCTCCTTTGCTCATGACTGACCTTGGTTTCACCTGTGTCATCCCCCCCCCCCCCGGCCCC